TGCTGCCTGGGTCTGTGCGTGGCATGGGCCCCGCAGCACCCGGGAGCCGGGGTGTTTTCCCAGTGAATATGTCAGACGGAGCTGGGGCTGGACGTGAAGGCAGTGGTGGCTGTGTGGGCACCGAGGCGCAGCTGCCCCGTTGGCTGCTTCCCCTGGAGAGGTGTACTTTTCACACCGCGGCGCACTCTGCGTGCCGGTGCGCAGGCAGCGGTGGGGTTGGAGGCGGTTGGTTCCTTACTGCATCCGCCCCCTTTCCGGATTGCGCCTGCGTGTGCTTGCCTTCAAGCTGGATTCCTGTGATGGTTCTCTCTGCCCCCTCGGGCAGCCGCGTGCGCTGACTTGGGCGAATGTCTCAGCGATCAGGAAGTGCTCTTGTCTGTAGTCCGCTGTACTCGTTGCGTTCCCACTGCTGGACGCGGTGCTCGACACCCAGCAGTGCAGGAGGAGGGGTTTATGTGGCTTACGGTTTGCAGTGGGTTCAGCCCGTGGTTGGCTGGCTTCAAGGCACAGATGATGTGGCGGAAGGCCACGGTGCAAGAAAGCTGCTCAACTCAGGGCAGCCGGGTGGCAGGGAGGCGAGGAGCCGGGGACAGCAATGCAGCGGTCCAGGTCGGTCTCCGGGACCCGCCTCCTAACAGCACCCACAGTCAGCGTGGGCTCACCAACCGACTAACCCACTGATGAGTGCAGTGCCCCAGCGATCCGGTCACGTTCCAGAAGCCCCATTTCTGAGCGTGAGACTTTTGGGGAACATTTTAGTTATAGACCATAATATCTGTCATTATGAGTCTACCTGATTTTAGTTTTCAAATTTTTTCTATTGATTTCATTATAGATAAAAGCAGTGCACAGATTTCGCCAGGTCTTGTGACGACGGGCAGCTCTAGGGCTGGTCCTCACTCCCTGCGCCTTTTCCCGGCTCCCACACAGCTGGTCCTTGCTGGCTGGTCATCCTTCCCTGTCTCTCTGACAGTGCTCCTCCTCAGGCTGTTCTCCCTGTTCGGGAGTGGAAGTGATGGAAGCTGGCCTCCGCTTTTCCTTTGGTACACTAAATCCTGGGCATCTGTCTCCTTTCGGGGTGCCACACCTCGGAAAGATGCGTCCCACCTTCTGCTTGCTTCCAGCATGCGCTGCTTCCCGCCTTTGGTGTCCTTCGTGCGTTCCGTCAAACAAGCACTTAACACCATGTAAGCAGTGGTGGGCTAAGTAAATTTTGACCGGAGATTTTCCCGTTTGGAGGAAACCTGGAAAAACAGCTGTCTTGCACCTGGTTCACTCCCACCTGCCATCCTCACCTAGTCAGTAGTAATTCAATTTATGTCAGTTTGCCAACAAACACAAGGTCGACAGCAGCCTTACAGCACGTATCAGTTGCTCACCTGCCTGACACTGTTTCCTAAGTAATAGTTGACAACAACAAAGCCAGGTGGAGGATGAGAATTTCCGTGATCACGAAGTAATGTAGCAAATGCTTAGATTTTGTGTGCTCTGTACCAGACACTGTTCTGAGTTTTACATAAATTAACCTTTAATTATCCCAGCAGTGCCGGGCGTGGTGGCACATGCTTATAATCCCAGCACTCGGGAGGCTGAGGCAGGAGGATCATTGTGAGCTCACTTCCGGCCTGAACTGCACAGTGAGACCCTGTCTCAAAAAGACAACAAAAATTATCCCAACAGTGTACAGCATAGGTACTAGTATCATCTTGGCCAAGACAAAGGGAGTTAATTCAGATTATGATGGCCTCATGGCCACTGTCAAGCCAGGATTCAAATCCAGGCAGTAGAACAAGGGACTGTGCGGTCTCCAACACCCTGCGTCTCAGGCTCACCGTTAGGACCATCTGAAGCCCTGCTGTTCCCTGAGAGAGTAACGGTCCTCCTTGCCTGGCGTCGTTGTCATGGGAGCCCTGGGAATCCTTTTGTATAAAGTGATGTCTTACAGAAAAATTCTTTGACAGAGTCTAGTATCTACTCATGATAGATACCGGAAGAAAATAGTTACGGAAGGACCTTACCTCAATCTGATAGAAGCCATTTATGAGAGAGAAACGCACTGCCAGCGCCCTATTAAGTGAAGAGCTGAAAGCTTCCCTGTAAAATCAGGAGCAAGACAAGGGTGTCCGCTGTGTCACTCCTGTGCAGCATTGTACCTGAAATGCTAGCAAGAGGAGTTCGGCAGTGCAACGGATGTGATCGGAAAGGAAGGAGCCAGATTATTTCCAAATAACGTGATGTACATAGAGACCCAAAAAATTTCAGCAAGAGATTCCTACAGTTAATAACCAAATGCAGTAACGTAACAGGCTACAAAAGCAACACACAAAAATCAGTAGTATTCCTGCACACTAATAATGAATTCACTGAGAAGTTAGGAAGAAAATACCATTCATGGTAGCCCCAAGAAAACTTAAGTACTTAGGAATTAACCTAGCCAAGGAAGTGAAAGAACTTTACAGTGAAAACTACAGTACTGTAAGGAGTTACAAGAGGACATCAGAAAAGGGAAAGATACTCCCTCTTCCTGGATAGGTAGAACCAATATAGTCAAAGTGGCCATACTTCCAAAACGGAGACACAGATTTAACACAATCCCAATCAAAAGGCCAACAACACTCTTCACAGAGCTAGGGCAAAAAATCCTAAAATTCACATGGAACCAAAAGAGACCCAGAATAGCAGAAGCAGTCGGGTGATGAGCAAAGCAGCAAGCATCACAATCCCAGATCTGAAGTTATATTAAAAAGCTGCAGTGATGAAAACAGCACGGTAGCAATGCAAAAACAGACTTGTGGATCAGTGGAACAGAGTAGAGGATGCAGACACAGCCAAGCACGCTCAACTGTTTGATCTTTGACGAAGTGGCCAAAAACATGCTCTGGAAGGATAGCTTCTTCAGAACCCATTGCACAGGAAATGGTACCATGAATCAACAAATGGGATCACGTCAATTTTTTTTTTCTTGGTACTGGAAGTTGAGCTCAGAACCTCGTGCTTACCAGGCAGGCACTTGTGCTGCTGAGCTATATCCCCAGCCCCAATCACATCAAATTTAAAAGCTTCTGCACAGAGAGGAAGCAACAGAGTAAAGAGACAACCTGCAGAATGGGAAAAAATTTTGCTATTTATTGGAGAATTAATGTCGAGAATACAATAAATCCTCAGCTTACGAACAAGTTCTGTTCCCGGAGGAACTGTTCATAAATTGGAATCATTCATGAGCAAAGGGTGTCTTATACGGTACAGCCATGAAAGTTGGCAACTTGAATGTTTGTAAGTTGGGGACTTACTGTGTATAGAGAACTCAAAAAAATTAGCTGCCTTCCAGTAAAGGACCTAGTCAGAACAACGGGCAGCTGAGATGAATTGACACAAATAGATACCTTTCAGACGTACAAATGGGGACCAGGAATATAGCTCGGCAGCACAAGTGCCTGCCTGGCAAGCAGAAGGTTCTGAGTTCAATTCCTGGTACCAAAAAAAAAAGAAGTACAAATGGCCAATGAATGCATACAGACGTATTGAACATCACTGGCCATTAGAGAAATACAGATTAAGACAACACTGAGATTCCGTCTTTCCCCAGAAAGAATGGCCATCATCAAGAAACCAACCAATAGCAAATGCTGACAGGACAGAGGGGGAGAAAGGAACCCTTCTCCACCGTTGGTGGGAGTGTAGACTGGTGCAACCACTGTGGAAATCAGTGTGGAGATTCCTCAAAAAACTCAAACTAGAAATTCCACTTGACCCAGCTATTGCCCTTCTTGATGTATTCCCAGAAGAGTTAAAGGCAAGAATGTCCACCATTTGCATACCCACGATGATAGCAGCACAGTTTGTAATAGCTGAGTCTTGGAAGTAGCTTGTACATCCCTCTGCAGATGAGTGGATGCAGAAAACGGGGAGTAGTGCTGTGCCATAAAGTGGATAAACTTGAAGCGCTTATTCATAAGTGGATGCACTTTCAGACCATAATATTAAGTGAAATGAGACACACAAGTTTAAATATCACATGGTTTCTCTTACATGAGAAACCCGAAACACAATAAAGAACAAAGTAAAAGATTGGTAATAGGAAGTAGGGACGTAGGTCTCCCTCACGTCGGAAGGGGACTGAGCTGGAGCGAGCGGGGGAGGGGAAAAGAAGAAGATGTTACGTGCGCGGACCAGCCCCACACAGGGACGGGAGACACTGTGTGTGCAGACCCGTGCTGTGAAGTGGTTTAGTTACCTTGCTGTCTGGCAGTAATAGTGTGTGTGCTGCAGTCGTGTGCACTCATATCTTGCGGCGTCTATGAAGGTTACTTGTGGATTTTTTTCAGCTCGTATGTTTTTCTAAATTCAAACACTAATACCACCAGTGGAATAGAAAAACCAAACAGCACAGAAAGTTAGATCTGGAAGATCTCCTTTCTACCTCTGACCTCGGCCTTCTGACCTGGGAAGCAGTGCTGCTGCGTTCTGGAATTTCTCCTTGTATATAAAGAGATCTTTTTTTCCTTGGAGGCGGATGGAAGCCTTCCGCCCATTTTCCTCAGTACTTTGCTCCGTGAGAGTTCACCTTGGAATCATTTCATGCCTATACCTGTCTTCCTGTTTTCGTGGCGTGGTATTTCATTGCATGCAGGTGTGAGAATTAACCCAAAGTGACGGGCATTTATTTCCGGGTTCTTCCTACTTCCCGTGACACTCTAGGAATTTTAAAAACTCTTTGCCTGGATGTCCGCCTCTACCGGCGGGGCGGTTCCGCTGTGGCAGTCTGTCCCGTCACAGGTTGAGCGTTTAAAGCGGAGGCGCGTACTGTCGGTTGCCCTGAAGGGCTGTGGCATTCGTGCTCCCACCACACGGGGTGTGGCGTCCGCTTGTCCTCCTCTGCCCGCACGGGATATGTGTCGCTGCGCAGCACCCCGGCTGATGCAAAGCAGGTGCTGCCTTACTTTGCGCATTTAAGAAGCAAAGCGCTACGCTGACGCCCAGCCTTCTTTTCCCTTCCCCAGGTCAACATGGATGATCGGTTTGGGCAGATCATGATCGAAAACCTTTGGAGACGACAGTGTCACCTGGCGGGAGTGGAGACCTGCAAGTCGTTAGAGTCTCAGGTCAGCAGACAGACGAGGACGTCTGCTGGGCCCTTAGCCGGCCCAGAAAGGGCGTTCCTGACCGATGAGGTGTGCAGGAAGCCCTGCTGAGGCCAGCCGACACAGGCAGCGAGGGCCCCGTGATGCCAGGAAGAGTCCTGCTCTGCCATCAAATTGACATTTCCTGTACCCCGTTTCATTGTGCAGGCTTTATTGTTTTATTTTTATTTATTTATTGATTGATTGATTGTCTTTTTGAGATAGGATCTCTCTATGCCTTTCAGGTTGGCCTTGAGCTCACTTTGTAGCCCAGGCTGGTCTCAAACTCACAACAATCCTCCTGCCTCAGCCTCCCGAGTGCTGGGATTACAGCTGTGCACCACAACGTCCGGCCCATGTAAAATTTATTAAGTAAAAAGTTAAACTTATAGGTGGAAGGAATAGTATAATAAATACCCATAGTTTTCTCTTAAAAAAAAAAAATACCCATAGCCCGTCAGCCAGCTTCAGTAATTATTGTTTTGTCAATATCATTTCATGCATCCTCTCCACAATTTGTTTTTGTTGCTGCTGTCAGAATATTTTCATGCAAACCCCAGACAACACGTGATTTCGCCCTAAATATTCCAGTCTGATCTCCTCCCAGGAAGGGCTTCCTTCCCTCAGAGCGCGATGGTGTCGTTGCATCTCAGTCAGCACTGATGCACTTCAGAGCATCTCACAGCTTGTCCGTGTTCACTCTCCCCCATGTTTACAACACTTTTATAGCTGGTTTTTAATAGTTTTTTTTTTTATTATTTTAAAGGGAATTTTTTTTTTTGTCTTTTTGAAACAGGTTCTCGCTGTGCAGTTCATGCTGGCCTCAAGCTTACTTTATAGCCCAGGCTGGCCTCAAACTCACAAGGATCCTCCTGCCTCAGCCTCCCAAGTGCTAGGATTACAGGCATGCACCACCACGCCCAGCATTAAAGGGAATAATTTTAAAAGAGCAATAACAAAATACCAACAACATACACAAAAAACAAAAAGCAAAAACAATAAAAATGATACAGGGTTTAACAGCAAAATGATAGGAGTTAAAAGTGGCTGTTTATATCGCATATTGTTATCTCCAGCAAAGTTGCCCAGGTTACCAGATGTAAGAATGCAGCATTGATCAAGCCGGCTGGTTTCCGAGTTAGGACCCATGCATTGTAGGAGATTGATACGTCTCTTCTAGCTCTCTGAATCTGTGATAGTCCCCCCTTTAAAAAAAAAGTCATTTGCCTGCAGGAGTCACCGCCCACCCCACATACCGGTTTTGACCTGCCTTATGTCACATGACCACCTGGTGCTTTAGAAGTTGCCCCTAGGAAAGTTTCTTCCTTTGTTCCTTTTAAAATATTCTTTATTTTTCTCCCACGATGATGTGTCTCTAGTACAGAAAATTAGAAAGTGCAAAGGAGGGATGAGGGGAAAATCCCTGGGTCCCTCCAGCCTTATTTCCCAGAGCTTAACTCAGCGTTTCCCTCCACGCGTGTTTCAGAGGGAGCGGCTCCTGTCGAATGGGTGGGAGACAGCCTCCGTGGTGGACATGATGGAGCTGTACAGCAGGCTGCCCCGAGCAGAAGTGAGCAGGTAGGGGCGGGCAAGCCTCGGCCCCGGCGTCCTCACGGGGACTTGAGCGGGTGATTATCTGTACTCCGGAGTGTGAACCGCAAAACCGAACTTCAACCAGACTTATTTTGAAATAAATTAAATATTGTTAGCAGCGAGAGTCACTTATTAGCTATTACCGGAGATAGAGCTTAGGCCAGAACGGATTATGTTAGTCAGAATAAACAGTTACACCTGGAAAATTCCCAGAGCAAGCGCTCTGTGGAAATTTTGCATGATCCCTGTTTCGGAGAGGAGGAAAATGACATTGCCCAAGGATTTCTAAGAGGGAAAAAAAGACCTCTGATAGCAGAGTTTTAAATGGATTTTCCCAACGTTATAAAATAAATACATGCTAGCGTTCTAAAACACAATTTCAGACCATGCGGGTGTATGAGGCGTGAAGTAGCCATCTGTAGAGAGATAGATATTGATACGTAGATTTATGGTTTTTGAACCAGTGGGTTCATACTACTGTCTTGAAATCACCCTCTCTTTTTAAAACTTAGAGATAGGACTAATGTGTCGTAGTATATCACAGTTCTGAGGCTTACCCTGTCTGGCTTATAGGTACATAGTACTTACACCGCTGTGCAGAGGGAGTATATCAATGTTCACAATTTTGAAGAAACTAAAGATAGCTGTGGCTGGGTGTTGATTGTGGCATCTTGTACTTTATTTAAACTTTCCTGTTACAAACAGCACAGGCGAGAGTAGTCCTGACGTAATCCGTGAGTGCCCTCTTCAGTTCTTCCTTGACAGTGATTGTGCTTCCTGCTTTGTGCTGTCGTCTTTCCCTTGGTGACTTTGAGGTCACGAGGAAAGTTCTTCGCCTTGCTTTCCCATAGCGCTTACATCGGGAAGTGTCACTTGTTTCTGTGTGTCTAAATGTAATCGGCAACAAAAGCCTTTGGAGTTTGAGCAAGTGGAGTCTTCCGGTAATCAGGCTAGCGTTCCCTGGATTCTTCTGGAAGCAGCCTTTCTGGCAGGCTTGTCAGAACTACGTTGAACATCCCTGGCGTGACATCTAGAGGGGGGAGTCTCTAGAACCTTGTCCAGATACGCGGGGGGAATTCTGCCGTTGGCGTCAGTCAGACAGAAGGTAACTTGTTTCTGGCACGCTTGTCTCACGTGGCCGTGGGCTTGTGAAGGCAGTGCCGTGTAACCCTGGCAGGAGCCGGTGAGGAGACGGGTGGGCTTTGCTGTGTCTCCTCCACCCCGACTTCGTGACTGTTACGCAGTGTTTGCCTGCATCTGTGACATACCATGGAGTATAAAAAAGAGGTCTAAGGCCAGCTTATTCGCTTAACAAATGGGGAGCACCTACTGGGTGTCAGACACATTTTCTGAGCACAACCCAACAATATCAAAATAGACCAGAAAGGATGCGTTCAATCTATACGGTGAATGTTTAAATTAAAAATGTATTACAGTAAACCACACGTTGCCATTAACCCCCTCAGAGTACTCTCCCTTGCCTTAAACACACATGCCCCATGGTCCTTGCCCCTTCCTGAAGTAGTTCGTGCAGTAGAAGGACAGGCTTGTTAAAACCGTGACGGGGGCTGTGTCTGCGTCCACCTTACCCGCTGGGTCTGGCTCCGTGCGGCTCTGGCTTTCTTCCAAAGTCAAAGTGACCGTGGGAGGTAAACGTTTTGAATTCAGGACTTCGAGGCAGCCGCAGCGGTGCTGCCAGGCTCAAGTCTCCTGAAAGAGGACCTCCAGAGCTGCTGCAGAAAGTGGCAGGAACGACGGGATGAGTGTGTTGGAAGCGAGAGGAAGTATTTCACGGGGGATGAATGGCAATGTGTCTTTTACTGTCATACATTTCTAAAAATTTACACGTTCGCTGTATGTCTCAGCCACACCTTGTATGCCTGCTCTTGGGAGCGCGCTCATGCCAGTGAATGGTTTCGTAATTAGTGTTCTGTTCCCGTGGTTTGACTCGGGAATAACCATCCAGAAGCCTTTATTACAGTAGGGTTTTTTGTCTAGAACTTGGTACCAGTTCACCTCAGATGTTGTATTAGCTTCCTGTTCCTGTGACAAATACCTGAAACCATCAGTTTAAAAAAAGAAAAGGTTTATTCGGCGTCAGTAGAAGCTCGGAACTGGAGGCTCCGTTCTGTGATCAGTTGGGCCCCTCATTGTGGGGCTGTGGCAAAGCAGCGGAGCATGGTAGGTGGGGGGGGGCGAACATTTGACTGATGGTCAGGAAGAGAGGCAGGGGTGAGCAGGGCGCCCCGCAATCTTTTCTCCAGGGAAGACCTTTGGGACAAAAAATGCATTTCAAACATTTCTTCTTATTGAAGTTCGACAGCTCTTTGTATAGCAAGGAAGCCAGTCCTTTGCCGTTTGTATTGCAAGTATATTTTTCTGGTTTGTCTTCATCTTATGACTGCTTAGGGCACTCACGGGGCGGTGCTGAAGAGCGAGCCCCAGAAGCATGCACCCTCGCTCTGCACCACTGAATCAAGCTCCCCAACCACTTTCCCTTATGTTTAGTAATGATAAAAGTAAGGTGAAACCACACCATGCACACTGTTTTGTAGCTGATTCCTTTTAATATGCCATGAACATTCATTATCAGTAACTTTGGGTCATTGTCTAATGATGCGATGTGTAATTGTATAATGTTTAATTGTGTGATGTTTAATTGTGTGATGTTGTATTTCTCTCTCTGCACAGAATAGAATCCCTCGAATTCCTGGACGAAATGGAGCTTCTGGAGCAGCTCATGCGTCATTACTGCCTGTGCTGGGCGACCAGAGGGGGACAGGAGCTTGGTAGGAGGTTGTTCTGCTGTTGCTTTGACCTAGAAACGGGGCATGTCTGGGACCTAGGCCCGGAGGAGCTAGAGGACCGTACAGTCTGCATATCTATGAGCAAGTCCAGAGAATTTTCAGTCAGATTTTTGTTTTTATGGCATAGAAATCAGATTATTTAAATAAACCGTCTGTCAATACAAAAACAACAAATCAACCCTTGGCAGGTTTGCAGGAGTGTCTGCAGTTTAAAGGTTAAAGCACTTGAGGGCTTCAGGTAGTAATCTTAATGAAAGTGCAGAGTTTGTCTTTTTCAGGAGCTCGTGACCATGTTTATGGTACGTATGTTAAGCACACAGACCATTACATCTCCCTGACAGAGCTCTGCAGCTGTGGGAGAGCCCCCCGGCTTATCTCTGTGACCGAGGTACAGTTCCCTGGCGCTGGCAGAGTAAGCCATGAGGAGCTCGCATGGATCCGGAGATCAGTGTCTTGTCATCTTTAGTAATCATAGAAATATGGTAGTGATCATATCCGTGTCTTACTGTCCCACACTTGGCCCAGCCCTACCTTTGTACCTGCCCCAGGCTGGTCTGGCTTCTCTGCTGATTATTTCTTGGACATCTGCTGGCCCAGTGAGGACTGTGCTAGATCTAACTTGCAAGCTTCCTACAGACGTGATTGACCCTAATGACTTACGGCCTCAGACAGTAGCTGGTAGAAAGCGGAGACCTTGCCAGAGGCCGAGACGGTCGCCTCTGTGAAATTTCCAGGTCACGTGAGATTGCTAATCACTTCGCCGGAGCTTATCATTCCACTTGTTTATAAATTTACCCAGCTGTGCTGTTGAGCACTTAGAGTCCTTTCAAGTTTATTTCTGATTTAAAATGAATTATTGGTGTGTTTTTGCATAAACTGTTACCCCTTCCAACTATAAAACAATATAATTTTTAGTAAAGAATTTGGAAACTTCTCAGAAGTATGGGAAAGAAAATAAAATTCATGTGTCTGCATTCCTCAGAGATAGCCTCTAGGTAACTTTTTCCTTCCACTCCTTCCCTAGCTATTGTCTTATTTTTAATAATTAGATTTATATATTTATATAACTTTGATGCCTGATTTGTTGACCTTAATTAATATTGTAGCATAAGCATTTCCCCCTTAGTATAGAAACTCTCAATGAATATGTGTAATGGTTTTATTAAACTCTAAATATCTGAATTTACTTAACTTTAACCATGCTTTTGGAAATGTAGGTTATTTCTCACAGTTTTAAGTTAACTCTAGTTTTTAACCACAGAACATTTTTTGTTTGTTTTATCTTTTTGAGACAGGGCCTTGCTGTGCAGTTCAGGCTGGCCTTGAGCTCACTTTGCAGGCCAGGCTGGTCTTGAACTCACAACGATCCTCCTGCCTCAACCTCCTGAGTGCTGGGATTACAGGCGTGCGCCACCGTGCCCTGCTGGAACATTTTTTTTTCCTTTTGTGGTAGTGGGTGTTGAAGCCAGGGCCGTTGCTCTAAGCTATATCCCTCGCCATTTTAAAAACTATTTTATTTTGAGATGGGCCTCACTAGGTCACTAAGTTGCCCAAACTGGGTACGTGCAATCCTCCTGCCTCAGCTTCCCAGGGTGCCGAGATTGATGGTAGTTGTGTACCACCATGCCTGGCCATCGCAGGCACTTTATGTAAAGGGCTGCTTCTGGCGCCGCTCTGCCCAGCTGCTGGGCTGTCAGTGTTCGTCTCAGGGTGGTGCAGGAGCTTCATTGCATTCGCTCAAAGTTCAGCAGTTCAGCGGCAGATTTTGGATGTTTACTATCAGGAGCCCGTAAATTGTTATTATGCTTTCTCAGTTCGTTTTAAACCAGTCATAAACAGATCCTCTCGCCCAACCCCTTTTTGATTATGGTGAAACCCCATTTCACGGGCCGCAGCGCAGAGCCGCGTTGGTGCCCAGAGCCAGAGCTGGCGCTGCAGCGGCGTCCCTTTCCCGCTCCGCTGCTCTTGGAGTCTCTAAAGGCCTCTGTGTTTCCCTCCCAGGCCTGAAGGAGATAACTTGTTGATCTGCGAGTCTCCTCCCCAGCCGGAAGCGGAAGGATCCAGCCTCCCGAGGACACTACGGAGCTTCCAGAGATGGGTCGGCGGGTCTCCTGGTCTCTCCCCACACTCGGGGAAACCGCAGTTCCGAAGGTGGCTGCACCCGTCCGCTCCTGTTCACCTGTTGTTGTTTCAATAAATCTCACTTGCCAGTTGCCCGTGTGTGGAGCTTCTGCCCGGCGTCAGGTGCCGCTCCGCGCTGCACGGGTCAGGCCAGGCTCGCTTCTACTGTCGCTTAAAGCCGAGCACCCGGATCATCCTCTGACCCCAGCTTAATTCCCTGTGAGTCAGACTCACCTCGTGATCTCACATTCGTTTGGGGATTTAGTCCTCTGAGCCTTTTATGACAGCGCCTGACACGCCTTAACACAGCCTCCGCCAGATGCTGCAGCTGTTTTCTGGCTCTTCTGCCCTCGCTGGCTTGGCCTGCTTAACTGCATCCTTCATCTGCGTCCACTGAGAAGTGGCCCCAGAACGTGCCCATGTCCCGATTCCTAGAGCTGTGAGTGCGGGGCTTCCTGTGGCCGAGAGGGCTTTACAGATGTGCTTAAGTAGGGTGTTTTTGTTTCGTTTTGTCTTTTTGAGACAGGGGCTCACTATGCCGCTCAGGCTGGCCTTGAGCTCACTCTGTAGCCCAGGCTGGTCTCCAACTCACAATGATCCTCCTGCCTCAGCCTCCCAAGTGCTGGGATTACAGGCGTGCGCCACCGTGCCCGGTTTAAGTAGGGTGTTGAAATGAGATGGCCCTGGATGTCCAAGCGGCCTTCTGTGATCACAAGGGCCTGTAAGAGGGGCAGAGAAGTCAGGGCCCGACCCCTGGTGTGCTGGCAGAAGCAGTGGTGGCGTAGTCTGCCTTGAAGGGGAAGGAAGTGGCCGGATGGTGAGCAGTGCGGACAGCCACTGGAAGCTGAAAGGGTGAGGAGACCGTCTTCCCTGGAGGCTCCGGAGGAGCCAGCCGTGCCAGCTCCTTGGCTTGGCCGTAAGAAAGTCTGTGAGTTTTTGTCCATTTTTCAGACAGGGTCTCCCCATGTAATAGTTCAGGCTGACCTTGAGCTCACTATAGCCCAGGTTGGCCTTGAATTCACAGCATTCCTCCTGCCTCAGCCTCCGGAGTGCTGGGACTGCAGGCGTGCGCCCCCACACCCAGCTCTGGGGTGTTTTACACTACTAAATTTGTCATTTGTTTCGACAGCAATAGGAAAGTAATAGAGTTACGGTCCAGACAAAAAGCCCACAATTCAGAAACACAAGTCCCACTGACACCAGCTGAACTTTTTGATCCTGGGATGGGGGCTGTGAACCTGAACCCAGGTGTTCAGGAAGGGTCATGAGGAAGCCCCTCGTATCGTCCTCTGGAGAGGTCACAGCCCCTTCCTCCAGGGTGTGGATCTTCGGTCAGTGTCCCTGCAGCGGGGCTGCCTCCCTGTGGCATGGCTGTGGGTGGGAGTTCGCATGAAGACAGCTTGCAATAAAAGTGAATCACCGAAGTGATACAGAGCTTATTGGGGTTTTTTTCTCTTTAAAAAAAAATTGGGCTGGGTGTGGTGGCGCACGCCTGTAAACCCAGAACTCGGGAGGCTGAGGCAGGAAGATCGTTGTGAGTTCAAGGCCAGCCTGGGCTACAAAGTGAGCTCAGGGCCAGCCTGAGCTGCATAGCGGGACCCTGTCTCAAAAAGACAAAAAAACAAAACAAACAAAACAACAAAGCTGCAAAAGAAAAAAAAAGTGAATCACCAAGTGAGAAAGCCACATCCCTTCTGTGTCCCTTCGCACTCAGTTCAAGAAGATCTTGGGCTGGTAGTGGCTTGTCTTTTCCATATTATTCGCTAACCCATGTTTGTGAAACTTTGGGACCAAGCCGTTAGTGGACAGTGAATCCATTTAGTGGACCGTCCCCATTAACTTTAAGATGTGGAATAGTAGAGGTGAGTGTTGTTTTTAGACACTTTCCATTTTCTTGCGTAGTGTGTACGTGCAAGGTGTGGAAATGTACTGTTAAGTGTTTAGAAATTTATTTCGGTAAAAGACTTCCTGCCGTTAGCTCCCGTGAGATACGCCCCCTTGGAACACACTTGCCCCATCATTCCTCCCACTTCGTGAAGCCCTTTGGGAAGCCTTGTTTTCCGAGTGTCTTTCTGAGGTGTGACCAGAAATCTGGTGAGTGCCGCTGCCGAGTGCCACCCCGTGGAAAGGCAGCTCATAAAAACATCCCAGCGCATCCCAGCCCACCTGACTCACTGGATCTGGCGCTGTGTGACTTCTGGTTCCTCCCCAAAGTCAAAATGAGCATGAGAGGTAAATGTTTTGAGTCAGTTCAAAACATCAAGGAGCCAGGACAGCACAACGAAAGACAAGAAGAATCAGCAGAGAAGCCAGACCCGCCTGGGGCAGGTGCAAAGGTAGGGCTGGACCAAGACTGAGACAGTAAGACACTGATATGATCACTGTCATATTTCTACAATCACAGCAGTCTGGGATGTGGGTCGCTGCCTGGGGATTTTCCTGGCAACCCCTCTGGTTCAGCGGATGTCTCCCTTTCTGCCTTTACTTGCTGCTTCCCTCTGTCCAACCCCAGTGCTTCCCCTCTGTCTGTGACTTCCACACTATGGGTGATCTGTTTTTTCTTTTCAAAAACTTTTTTCATTTTTAAATGTAAAATATGCCCAACAAAACTTAGGATTTTAAACGTTCCAAGTATGCAGTTCCGTGACATTCACTGCATTTGGTATAGGAAAATAGAAACTCCCAACCTGAACGATATCTGGGATGAGTTTGTGTTCTCTAAAATCGAAGAATGAATTTTAGCAACAATGGAGGTGAAGAGCAGAATGTATCTGTTGAGGGAAAGAAAGCTTCTGTCCAAGAGAGGGACAGAAGGGGGCCCGAGTGGGTTGCCAAGGACCTTGCCCTTCCCAGGGACTTTATAGAGCAAAACCACGAGGTGAGGCGGGTCCAACGTAGGGGGAAAATGGGAAATTACAGGTGGGCGTGAGGTGGGACAAAACCATGGTCAGCCAATAAGATTACAAGTATGACTTCAGGTAAAATTGATTGGGATCAAATGGGGAAGCCAGTCAGAGCAAGAGGGCGTGAATACAGAACAGGGGCTTTGTCTGTAGGAGGTTGGGCTAGCGACTCTTCCTGGCTTTTTCAAGGTGATTGCTATCTATTTAAGGTATCATTCCCTGATGTCCGTCCTTAGGGAGGTGTGTGGATGCATTTGTTTAGTCTTTTGTCTCGAGGTCTGGCCCACAGCAAATAGTCTCCATTCACGAGGCGTCTTGTCTTTCACGTTGGCTTCTTTGAGGGCCTGGCCCTGTCTGCCTGCCTATAATACTTCCATCTAAGTCAGCGGCCTGTAACACATTCACATCAGTTTGCAACCATTGTCCCCATCCACCTCCAGGACTTTTTCATCTTCCCAAACTGAAACTCTTCCCTGCATTAAACAGTTCCCGTTTCCCGCCCCAGCCCTCGGTGTGTTGTGCTGTCTGTCTCGTACATTTGAGCAGTTAGCTCACGTGGTTGGAGTCTACAGTGCTTGTTCTTCGGAGCTGTCTTCCTGCACTTAGCACAGTGTCTTTGAGGTGCATGCACGCTGTAGCGTGTGTCAGAATTTCCTTCCTTTTAAAGACAGTAATATTCCACAGTGTGTATCGTTACAGGTGCAGAGAGGAGAGAGGCGGCCCAGACGGGCCTTCTGTGCGCAACAATGGCTGTGTATTTCACCGGGGTGTGGGTGAGCCAGAAAGGGAGTCGGGGCAGAAAAAGAAGTCAGAGATCGAAAGGTCTTGAAGGGGAGCGGGGGCTGCTGCCTTGAGTTTGGGGGCGGAGAGTGAGGTCAGGCTTCTCCAAGTGGGAGGTGCAGATGCGAGTGTGGTCACACCCCTGCGCAGGCAGCTCGGAGGAAGTGGGGCCTTCCGGGGCTGGGGAGTTGGGACACAGTGTCCTGCTCAGCTTTTTCCCTGGGCCTCCTGTTGTATTTGCCAGGAATGGGCTCGCCCATTGGGCTGACCTTCCTGTCCTTTCGTTGTTATAAAGGGGTGGGGTGTGGTGGTGCACGCCTGTAATCCCAGCACTCCAGAGGCTGAGGCGGGAGGATCACTGTGAGTTTGAGGCCAGCCTGGGCTACATAGTTCAACCAAGACCAGCCTGAACTACAAAGTGAGACCCTGACTCAAAAAGATACCCAAAAAAAGGGTGGGGGCGAAGGGGGGCGAGGAAACAGGCGCTGTTTCTCATGGCTTTTTCCTGCAGGCATATGGATGGCAAGGCACTTTCATTGGGAGAGGATTCTTGGGGAGGGGTGGTTAGGACCAGCACTTGCTGCATTGACTGATTGCTGATAGCCTGAACTCGATTTGGTAGGAACTGTGAAAAATAAACAAACAAATGAGCAAACCTGGAGAGGCATGACCCAAAAAGGAGGCGGCGGACCCAAAGAGGTGCAGTTGCCGGGAGGAGCCGTGAGGCCCAGCCCTAAATATTGGTCCAGGGTTTGGACAGGCATTGTCTGATGTCTGAAGCCTTTTCAGTTAGTCTTTTTGCTGCGTCTCGCACCATGACTGAGCGTTATTCTAGAAAGATGCATAGGCCATCTTTTTCAGCTGTGAGAGGATCTAGGCTCCTACGATCTTGGAGGGTTACTTCCTCCAGGAGTCTATCTGATTCTGTAAACTAAGAGTGGAGTCAACTATTTCTTTGAGGCTGTCAGAGAGGTTTTGGATAGGGAACAGTAGTAGGTCAGGGAGGGAGGTAGACCTGCTGTCCCTGTGGGAGTGGCGGTGGCAATCCCCAGACCAGCAAGCAGGGGTGTCAGTAGTAGGTCTCTCTGTTGTTGGATCTGGGCTTTAATAGCAACAGGTAGGCTTTGGTTTCCTGGGCCAATGTCTGTTCTGGGGCTGAGGTATGTCAGTGTACAGGGCCTGGTCCAGTTAGCGGGGTGGCATAAGTAGGAGGATGTCCCACAAAAGAAGTTAACACCTTATTAGCTGGGTAAGCAGAATTGGTTGTGGATGTTAAAGGGGTGTGTGGATTTTTTGTTTTTGTATTCCCAGACACCCAGAGTACCGGCCAGGGCAGTGTTCGTCAGGGGCTGACACTCGGGAGAGCCTGAGGGAGGTAGGAGAGGTTACTTTTGATTTCCAGGAGGAGG